GCAGCCTTCAGACGTTTCTCAAACTCTGCCATCTTCCGGGTCAAACTCCCTTCCAATTCCTTTTGGATATTAACAACTTCAGAGACATTTGCCATTGTAGTAATGTGAATTAACCGAGGAGAGATAGAAGAATAGTAATTTTTATTTAGTGTGACAGATGTTATGGAGGGAGGATGAATTTAAGTTTTTTAACTTATTTAAATGCACATTCCTATAAGTGATAATAAATGCTAACACTTATTTTTACAAACGAGTTAAAAATTAAACAGCTAAGTTAATTATACTTATTTTTAAATGTAAATAAAATACGAGAGATAATTTCAGCTGTTATCTGTTTTGCACCTACCCTCGAATAAACTAATGTCTAATCAGTTTAGGCAACTGTTACATAAATATAACGTACCGAATATCTATTATAACCCGCGTTATCACCCACAGGTAAATCAAGCCGAAAGAGCGATTAGGAACGTAGTTAACGGTATATCATGTTATGTAGGTACCGAGCATAAACGATGGGACGAGAACATCCCACAGTTGCAATGCGCACTTAATTCAGCCGTGAATGATACCACTAAGTTTACTCCGTATTTTCTTGTGCACGGACGGGAATTCATAATAGATGGAATGTTACACAGCTTAGATAGCCCTCAGCCAGTTCAAAGATCACAAGTAACTCTCGGTGAACCACAAGCATACAGTAAAAAATTAGCGGAATTAGACACCATATTTAAAAAGGTACAAAAGCATATTAAAAATGCTCATTCTAGAAATGAAAAGTACTATAACTTAAGAAAACGACATGTTGAGTTAAAAGTAGGTCAGATTGTATATAAACGTACCCATTACCTATCTAATGCCTCAAAGAGATTTACGGCTAAACTAGCACCAAAATTTCAAAAATGTGTCATAACAGCGAAATTATCACCTTTAGTGTATACCTTAGCCAGCATGGAAGGTAAGACACTAGGTAATTTTCACATAAAAGACATCCTTAAACAAGATGACTAATAGTTTTGTAGAATGTGAGTGATGAGTATGATTGAGTGAAAGAATGTAAGAATAATAAACATTTTCAAAATTCATTTCCACCGGTGAACTTTCTGAGATAAATAAGCTGTGATTGTATTGATGAACGAGCGATACATAACTAGTAGGTCATCTTATGTTGTGAACATCGGCGCGAGTTAGATAAGAATTTGTTCTTTATGTCCGCACTCTGGACATTATATAAGAAAATGCATACCAGCCAGTGCGTAGCATTACTTAAGCTGTTTCTTTTAACTTAATATGATTAAACGTTAATTCACTTAACTTAATGCGAGATAGATATTTAACTTAACTTAATACTTAATATGATTTCCAAATCACTTAACTACTCAACTTAATAAATAAGAACACGTTCGTTTTTCGACTACTTAGAGAAAAGTCGAGTCGAAACGTAAACATCGTGTGTAGGCTTAGTGCACTGTAGGTATTCGTTTCTGTCCCGTGATGTTACGTCACGCACCGCATGAATGGTAATAGACTATTCGCGAGTAGGATTCGGGAACGTAATTATTCATAGGCAGTTGTATTTCATTATTGTAAAAAACATGTAGGAATAAATGTAAATAAAGTTGCATGCCATTAGGTTAATATAGGTATAACAATTAGTGTAGTATTTTCTAACTTACAACACAAGTAGGTAAATTTGTGGTAGTGTTTTTTTTTGTTAACAACACAAGTAGGTAATTACATTTTGAGGTTAAATTGTTTAGTGGAATATAATGTTACTAGGTATACAGATACAGAAATGAAAATTAGGTAATAAGTAGAGTAATTTTTTTTTTTATAGGATAAGGGTGACAAACGAGCACACAGTCCACCTGATGGTAAGTGGTTGCTGTGGCCCATAGACATCTACATCTATCCTCTATTACAAATCAATATGTAGATGCGTTGTCACCCGTGAGGACTAAGATGGAATGCCTCATTTCCAGGAAAAAGGGCCTCCGGCCACCTGCACTCACCAAGCGAAACGCAGAGGTAAACCTCTACTTCACGCTGGTTTTCTGTGAGGTCGTGGTACCACCCCGGTTCGAGCCGGCCCATCCGTGCGACAGCAAAAGCTGCCGCGTGGCTCTACCACTGTTAAAATAATGAGCCTTGTGTAAGATTAAACGTCGTAATTAAGTGATTAAGTGATGGCTTGGTACTTGTTAGTCGTTGGTGCATGGGTGACTTGGAATTTACTATCTGTGCGAATGTTTTTTAGCCAGATTGGATTAGAGACGCATTACAACTTCTTCACTGTCTTTGGTATTCAGTCGTTGTTCTGCAGGTGGCACGAAATGTCTTCGGAAAAAGTATCTTCATTACGAAGAACTTTTTAACCCAAGCAAAGGGGATGTGTAACACGAAAATTTTCGTGTACATTATTTTAGCATATTTACGTTATTACATGCGATGAACAGACTTCAGAGCGCCATCTAACGTCATTAGTCCGAAGTAACTAGAAACGTATATTGACGAATCGAGCTAGCTAATTGCATGCAATTGACCTTTCGTGTTAGTTCGAAATCCTACCACGGATCGACGGTGGCGTGTAGCCCAAGGGAGGCCTAGTTCTTTTTTGGAGCGAGCCGTTGTAATGATCGGACACGCACATATATAATTTTTGAATCGAAACGCCGGAACATGAATTTAAAGTGACGACTACTTGGGCGTACAGCCCCTTAAACACAATGTCTACGGGCAGTTTAATGTGTTGAAACACATCATCCCATAAATTGTAAGTACTTAATGTTTTTGTCTTCTTAAAAGCACATGTGCTCTAATTAACGGTACACGGTGTTTCATAGATTCTTTTGCCTTGTCATAGGGGTCCTTAGTCCTTAGTCCGTACTTTGAGTATGGTCCATTATCAAGTTTAACAATGTGAACGAGGCGAGGCAGCTTCAACGGGTGGCTATATTGGGACTGGGCGGCCAGGAGACCGCGACCGGCGTACACCTGGAGGATATCTGTTGCCTCACTGCTTCGCGGGATTGACCATAAACAGTGTAATATTGTGTAATCCACCAGGTTAGTCAAAACCTCAGTTCGTAGGGTATTTTAAAATGAAAACTTGATATTTGGAGCTATACATGTGAACCGTAGAAGGAAATAAACTACTTTTTGTCTGTATGTGTATCTTTGAATTTTCATTTACTAATCATCCAACAACAGGCGCCCTGGGATACTTTTATTTTGATCCTCGAGTCCCTTGACTCTCCGATAACCGTAGCCGGTGAGTAACGCCCTAAAAAGTGTTATAAGTGGACTAAAGAATATCACAAACTCAATGTAAAATCTAGAATGACGTCTAACTAGTTACGTCTAAAACTTCTTACCCTATTCTTCTACAAATTTACTTATATGGGACCACCCCTGATGTATAATCTATTTAATAAAAAAGAACCATTAAAATTGGTTCACAATTAACGAATATATTGAGTAACATATTTTTATTCTAAGTATTTTACTTTTATAGTGCCTATTGATAGATTATTTTATATCAGTAATCATTTGTATTTTTTAAATAGAAAATAGGTTTAGCCGACAACAGACAGGTGCAACCGATTGCCCTTGATTAACTTTTTTATTATGAATACAGGTGATGAAACCCAGGTGTAATCAGTTTATTAAGGTGCGGGTACAAGGTATTATTATAAAGAATTAATATAACTATATTTATTTAGAATAACGCTTGCAATTTAGGTAAAGTGCAAGTCATTTATTCATTTATTCAATACTAATCTAAGTTTCAGCACTGAGCATAGAAATCCTCCATATGTTGCCTCAGTTTTTGTCACAGTTTCCACCTTAGCAGGCGGGTTGATAACCTTAGTTTTATATTATATTGAGTCATTATCAGGAAAGTGCTGCTGCCCATCTCCTGTTTCAATTTCCTTCTGTTGCCTCTTGCGATACCTATTTGAAGATATTATGGAATAATGGATTATCTTACGTCACTACTACATGTTCAACGTACTAGGTATTCTATATAAAACGGTCAAGGTCATTACTTATATATATATCTTTTTAAACTTTGGCTTTGGTTGACTGCTTGACAGTTTTTGAGTTTCTTGTCAAGAAATTGTCAGTAGCAGCCAGAAGTTAGGAAGTTGGCGATGTTTCACCTTCGTGCCTCGGAAAGCACGTAAAATCGTTGGTCTTACGCCGGATCTCTCTCCAATCGAGTCTGTTCGCCGCCGTCTCATTGGACTATGAGAGAGAGGGAATAGAGAGTGTATCTGTGTTAGCGCACACACTTGATCACTATAATCCTGTCCTGCGCATCTGCGCCAACGGAGACTAGCCATCTGGCTAGTCTCCGTTGTTAAAGCTAGTGACCGAAATTCAGACTAGAAGACATTATTATTACATGCAAGATTACTGAGTTTCTTGATAGAAAAACTCAATAACTGATTCTGGCCCGACCCGGGAACTCATGATCAGCAATCGTGTTTACGACCACTAGAACAGCGAGGCAGTCAAGACTAGTCAGAAAGACTATTAAGAATACATCACTCCATGAAGGTTCCCAGAATCCAAGAAGTAAGACTATTGGGAAGAAAAATTTCCGCCATAAATTCAGTAATTCTACACGTGGTAGAGCCATGCTGCAGCTATATTAGTAGTATAGTTGTAGCACGAATAGGTCGGTTCCACCGGGAAAGGACCACGCTCTCAGAGAATACCAGCGTGAAATAGCAGCTTAACACTGCTGTGTTTCGTATGGTCAGTGTAGAGAACCAGCGACCCTTTTTACTGGAAAAAAAGCATTCCATCTTAGTCCTCACGGGTGACAACGCATCTGCATTTTGATTATTTATTGAGGATAGATGTGGTTGTCTATGGGTCACAGCAACCAATTACCATCAGTTGGACTGTTTCTAGCATACTTTGTCACCTTATCATATAAAAAAAGAAGTCATCAATCAGATTGATGATGATCAATGATTAGTATGTAGAGTTACCTTGTAAACAGCATAAAACGTTAAAAACACTGCAAATATATACAAAATCTTGAATATAATCCACAGTAACAAATAACTCAATACGAGTGTGTGCAATTTTCTTAACTTCTCCAAAGTGATGTCGGAGAAATTCACGTGCAAGTATTCCTCCAAATCAACTAGCTCCAGATCAAACAGGAACTTTCCATTCTCTAACAAGAAGTATAGCATGAAACAATTCATGACAAGGATGGTAGTAACTACCACCTGAAAAAGAAAACGATTTTCATATAACATAAAAGTTAAAGTTAAGTAATAACCTATATATATCCTACTGCTGAACACAGGCCTACTCCCATTTTTTGAGAGAATTTTAAGTAAAATAAAAGTCCGCCGGGCTGCCGCATTTCGTGTTGATGGACTTCAAATATCTTCGAAATAGTTTTTTCTAATATTTCACACACACAGGTTTTCTCAAGTTATTTTTTCCGCCGACCAAGTGATAAATCAGCAATTAAAATTGCAACTAACAATGTCATTAGTGCCGTCAGATTCGAGCCTGGGTTGCTCGCATACTGTGAAATTTATAATTATAATAAAATCAATTCTAATTGATCCCCTCGTTAATTTGAAGTTGAAGGAATAGTAAATAATTAATTTGAAGTATGAGCTTCTCTACTCTCGATAATTTGAAGCGTTTATCGTGCACAGACCTGTCATTTTTACATACATGTAATACCTGTTGATTGTTTACATAAATGAGAGGGACTTCTTTTCAAAATGAACATTTGTGAAAAATTGTACAAATGTTTAAAATAATAAATCACGAATTTTGATCAAACTCTTGTTTACTTGATTTTTCCTCCCTCCCTCTTGGTTATCTGAACTCCCGTTATTATGAACTCTTTCTCTGGTCCCTTTAGTTTCAAATTGTCGAGAGTCTATAATATATAATGTATATATATATGTGTTTTAGTGTAAGCAAAATACAGAATGGAAGTAATATAATTTATAAATACAAATAATTGAATTGTCTGTTTGTAATATCGAAATAACTGCCTTCTAATATAAGCAATTATTTTAGCTTGGTTGTTGAGGGGTTATTAGCCTAAAATAATAATAATAATAAAATTTTTCGAACAAAACTTCACACTTTATCTTCTACACGTGTACCTCGTAAAGTTTTGATGCATAATCGTTTATTAAGATTTTTTTAAATACCATTTTACAAAAACTAAGTGTGCTGACGGTGCTGACAGTGCGTTTTCTCCAAAGACATCGGTCCAACTTGTCGTGTTTCGAAATTTGTCGTATACAGGATTATTTTGAAGTTATCAGCCAAATTTGCAGAGATATGATATTATTAATTTGTTTAGTAGAGAGAGAAAGTTCAGAATAACTAATAAGTATAGGCAAATGGTGAAGAGGAATTAATTAAAAAAAAATCGCAAATATTTTGGCATTTTTTGGCTTTTAAATTCAAAATGCAAAACTTTACTGATTATCATTCATAAATATCTGACGGGTACTATTTTACGCACGCACACACTCGTAAGGGTCACTTGGTAAGCTACCTTGTTGCGCATCTTTCGGCGTCCACCCTTTATATTCACCGTCACACCGTTAAGTACTTACGTCCGCTCGCCCGGCCGACAGTTGACAGTGTTGACCGTAAACTCATTACGTACGCTTCGTTACAAATGACGTAACAAAAATATTCGAACTGCGGCTAATATGAAACTATGAAATGATGTCATATTACATTTTAAGCAATGAAAGTTTACATGGTGTGCAGAGATACTAAAGTGAGTCTTTATCGCGGCGGAAATTAACCGACTAATCGAAGAACAATTGACAGATAATCAGACTACTTACGTGCAGTGAGCGATAACTTAAATAGAGAATATGAAGATAGGTGGATTGCACATGGGGGTAACTTTCATCGCTAGTCTTTTACCTGTGTATAAAAAGTCGTGTTTTTTTATAGAATAAGGGTGACAAATGACCACACAGTCCACCTGATGGTAAGTGGTTGCTGTGGCCCATAGATATCTACATTTATCCTCTATTAAAAATCAAAATGCAGATGCGTTTTCACCCGTGAGGACTAAGATGGAATGCCTCATTTCCAGTAAAAAGGGTCTCTGGTTCTCTACACTCACCATACGAAACACAGTAGCGTAAAGCTGCTATTTTATGTTGGTATTCTGTGAGAGCGTGGTCCTTCCCCGGTCGAGCCGACCCAATCGTGCTACAACTACTAATATAGCTGCAGCATGGCTCTACCACGTAAAAAGCGTCAAAGTGGCCCAAATTTATGAAGACCGCCACAGTAAAATTATTGCTGCGGTCATGCTGCGGAAGTTAAAAGACCTCAAAAATATGTAATAAATGTAAAAAAATTAAGAAAACGTGCTCGTCTATGCATAAAGAACGTGGCCCGTTGACCCATTACCGTTCGGGCCCAAAATTAGTTATTGGGTTTCTGTTATGAAATTCTCAATAGCAGTTTGGAGTCAGGATGTTGGCGATGTTTCACCCTCGTGCCTCGAAAAGCTAGTAGCCGTTAGTCCTGCGCCTGATCACACTCCGGTCGTGTCGAATCGCCGTACCACCGAACTATGAGAGTATTGGGATAGCGTGTGCATTTGTACTTGAGCATACAATCGGGAACTATAATACTGTCTTGCGCAGATGGCTTGCCCCGTTGAGACTGGTCCTGGTGATCGGAATTTTATCTAGGGGATATTAATACAAATAAAGGCCAAAAATGTATATTACAATTAAAGTTAAAATCACTAACTACCATCACCTACCTATCATCATATAAAGAGAACTTTGCCATGAAAACCTTTTAGTGTAATCTGATTGCATCTAACATCACATGTTACGGCAGTATTTTAATGCATTTTTGATTACATATTAACGAAACACTACTGTTTGCGCCAAATGCTAAATTTTTAAAACTGCTTCAACTTCAACAAAACTTCAACTCTCCTTCTCGAAAGTGTATGGCCCTACAAACCATACATTTTATGGTCCTTCGAGTAAAAATTTAAAAGTGAAGTGTAACAGTGTGTGATCAGTGATAAATCTGCGGTAGCGAATCGGTTGACTGGTCTCCGGGAAGAGGGAATCACCAGAACAATTGAGAGTGCACACATATCGCTGAGGAATCATATCACGTACTACACAACAACTAAGACAAACCAATTCCAATCTCTACATCTGCCACCGTCAACTACATGCCAGAACACCGAGCTACGAACTCCGCATCTTCTTCTAACTTTTTAATACAATGAACTAACTACTTCAACTACAACATCATGCTGCATCTTCAACAACGGTGTTTTAATAACATCATAACTCTCTGTTCTAAATACAATAAAGATAGTCAAAACAGCAAAAATCAAGAATACTTGTTGAAACGACTGGAGGCTCTCGAGGCGCAGTAGAGCGACTTCTTATATTGAATAGCAGTAACGGGCTTTCTCCTCAAAGTGCTCCTTAATAAAGAAATATTCCAAAAAATGAAATCTCGACGTGAAATTGACAATACCATCATGTGCCAAACCACCGAGGTTGTATGGGTTACCGAAAATACACAAATCAAACACTCCACTACGTCCCATAGTAAGCCAGATCGATTCACTAACATATAAGTTGGCTCAACACTTGGCAAAAATATTGTCACCACTGAGAGGACATACCAGAGCACGCACAAAGGATTCCTACCATTTTGTTAGTGAGATAAAAGACCTACATCTCGTTGACAATGAAACTATGGTCAGTTTTAATTTTCAGTCACTATTCACATGCTTAATTATTGAAGACTGCATCTCAATTGTAACTAGGAAGCTAGAAGATTACAACATGTCTACAGAATATGCAGTATTATTTAAACACTGCCTCACATCTTGCTATATTGTGGAAGGAAGAGTTCTACAAGCAAATAAATGTTGTAGCGATGGGCTCGCCTGTATCTCCCGTAGTCGCCGACATATTCATGGAGGACTTTGAGGAGAAAGCCCTTCTTACTGCTCCTGTAAATCCAAGATTCTTCAAGCGGTACGTATACGGTAATTTCACAATTTTACCATCTCACAAAGTAACTGCATTTTTAGACCACCTTAATTCCATAAACTCTAAAATACAATTCACAATAGAGTTAGAGGCAAACAATTCTTTAACTTTTTTAGATGTTTTAGTCATCCGAAATCCTGATAACAATATTTGTCACACTGTGTATAGGAAAAAGACCCATACCAACCGATATTTAAATGGTGAATCGCACCATCATCCACCACAGTTAACTACCGTGGGAAAAGCTTTGTTTCAGAGAGCACGAGGGATCTGTGACAGAAAAAAGCTGGCCGCCTCGCTTCAGCACGTCGAGCAAGTATTACAAGACAACAAGCTTCGGGTCCCGTGCTTGCGTAACAATGGCCGAGTGAAGCCGGACACAGTCGGGCGTGTGCCTGCTGTGCTACCCTATGTCATAGGAGTCACAGACAAGGTTGGCTACATCTTAAAGCAAGCTTCCATTGAAACATACTTCAAGCTGCCGAAGAAGATTAGTCAATTTTTACCATCCGTCAAGTGTCATATCCTCAAGATGCAGGAGTGTACAAGCTGGATTGTGAATGTGGTATCACTTAAATAGAACAAACAAAAAGATCTATAAAAACCCGCGTGAAAGAACATACAGCTGACTTGTAGCACCGACGTTCCGGGAAGTCTGCAGTGTGTGAACATGTTCAAGATTGTCCCAAACATTACATTAGATTTGATAGACTACTAATCCTCCAAAAGAACACCGATTCCAACGAAGGATAATTCATGAGGCTATTGAAATTAAGAAACATCCTAATTTCAATAGAGAAGATGGATGGGTGCTTCCATCTGCTTGGGATCCTATAATTAATAAAATTAAATCCAAACCCAAGCATACCACTGTAAGACTTCAAGATACTATAAGCTCATTCTGCGTAGATCGGACCAAAAATTAATATTCAAAAACTGAAGGTAACTGGGCCAACTATGACATTGGGACGTCAAACACCTCAGTCCCCCCCGTGATCATGGGTGCTATAAAGAATCCGAACGTCGATAATTAAAAAGTTAAATTAAATGCGATAGAATCCGTAGAAGTTGTTTTTTTTTATAAGATAAGGTGACAAACGAGCATACAGTCCACCTGATGGTAAGTGGTTGCTGTGGCCCGTAGACGTCTACATCTATCCTCGATTACGAATCAAAATGCAAAT